TCTCAAAAAAAAAAAAAAAAACCAAACCCTCCAAACCATAATGGCAAAGATAAATCCTTACACTCAAATGGACAGTTCATTATGTGGTACTGCATCGTTTCGGGTGCAAGGCCACCTGAGTTGACAAGGACAGCTAAGGGCGCGTCCAGGGGCGCTCGCCAGCGGTGGGGTTCGATTTGAACCTGTGCCCAAGCAGCCCAGCGTCTACGACTCTGCTGTGAGGGAGACTGGCTGATTACCTGGCCCAGAACCACTGACTTAGAAAATGTAACAGGAAGTACGGCACCAAAAAGTGTAAACTTTTAAGGTGCCAATTTCCCTCCTGCCTTGCTCCTGTACGTGCCCCTTCACGGGTACCACGTCCCAGATTCTGGTGGGACCCCAGCCTGGCTGCGGTACCCGAAGCTAGGAGAACTCCACCCCCAGGGGCAGCCGTCGGGCCTCAGCTCAGTCTACAGCAGCAGAGCGCAGCCTATGCCACTGGCAGTTGGTTGGGCCCCTAGGGCAGGTCCAGGGCCCGCAGCCAGTCTTGGGGACTGCGGAGATGGCTGCTAGCTGGGGTCTGAGGCGGCTTCTCTCGGGTACGGAAGACGGAATGCTATCCAGCCGCGGGCTCGCTCCGGAAGCCCACAGTCACATGAAAACGGCTACACCGCCGTGCCTGGGCCATCGCCTCCCAACATGGGGAGACAAAATGGCCGCCGCGCCCAGAGCCGAAATTGCATCCGGGCTCTGCGACACGCCCGAACTACAACTCCCAGGATGCTCTGCGTGGACGGCGGGCGGTGAGACGCTCTGGGGCACCGCTTAGGTGGCGCTAGGCCGGGGGCTCCTCCCCGCACCGGAAGGCCTCCGAATACGCGGTGTCTTAGGTCGCCTTCTCCGTTCTTCGTCGCACTGGCCGACGGGACGCTTAGTCCTTCGGCAAAGGAGTGAAATCTTCCCTGCGCCTTAAGAAACGATACTTTCCGGTGTGGGTTCGGCGCCTGAGCGAAAGGCTGCTCCAGTTCCCGGCGGGCCCCGCGACGCGCGTTTGCGTGCTGACGCACGCAGTTAGTCGTGCTGACGTGCAGCGCGGCCCAGGCGGGGTGCGAGTGGCGCAGTCGGAGCCCGCTGCGGCCCCTGAGGAAGCGAGGAGGCGTCGGTGTCGGCTGAGGCGGGCGGACCGGCGAGGCGAGGCGGCAGCTCCAGGCCCCGAGGGACTCGGGAGCTCGAGCAGCGGCGGCGGCAAGACCTCTCCCCCTCGGAGGCGGCGGGCGGAGGCGGCGGGTGAGAGGGTGAGGGAGCCAGCGAGCCGGGTGGGGGAGGGGCGGCGGCCCCGGCGCGAGGCCAAAGCGCGCGGAGAACGGCTCAGGTCGCCGCGCTCCTCCGCGCGCACGCGCGTTCTCCGCTTTTCGCTGGCGCGGACGCCCTCGCCTCCCTTCCCCCTTCCTGCGGTTCTTGTCGCTGGCGGGCTTCGA